AAACAGCAATAAAATAAAATAAAATAAACCCCAAGCATTTATTAGCAAGAACATAACCATGCCAGTAAGTAGGGGTAATATTGGGGGCTAACTGCTCAATTCATGTAAATTAAAATAGCTGTGCTGATACCACTAGAACTATGCCTATTTATATTAGCTGAGAATCAGTTTTAAAGTTCCCACTAAGAACTCTCTTTCTCCCATCTCACTTCCCCTAGCACATTTATGTAAAATAGCTTGTACATGTTTGTTGCAGGGCTTTTATATAGCAACATTGGCCAAATTACAGTCCCTGCTGACTAGATTTGTTGCACCTGTGACACCTTAAATTAGCTGCAGGTAGTCTCATATGGATTCCATAGCAATTAATTGCTAGGAAATTACAAACAAAACCACTCTCCCTTTCCCCAGGTGTTAATCAAAAGAAAGAAAGCTTTTCTTCTGTGAGGTAAGAATTTTTATTTCCCTGAGCTGGAGAAGAAAAGGAGAAATAGCTAATGTTCACAACTTTGCATAACTAGCCAATTCCTTAAATAAGAAAGAAAACAGAAAATTAAAAAAGAAGAAATAAGAAAATGGGATCCTTTCTATTTTGAGGAAAGACTGTAGAGATTTAGGGTTTGATTCTGGTTTGCTGTTTACTCTGGCCTATTCCAGTAAAGGATTTAAGTATTTCCTTAAAAAGAAGTAAGTGAATGGACCCATGGAAGTTAATGTGTGTTGGAGGAAATCATCAGGACTTCTGTATGCTTCATGTTTGCTGAATAGGGTCAGAGATGCTTGAATATTTGTAAACCTGTGTCCTTAGAAGGCTAAAGAAAGTTAAATATCACTAAGGCCCTGGATCAACTGAATAGACTTTTGCATGTATATGGAAACCCATTAGTATCACTGGGGTTCTAAGCAGGTTTATGGGTCTGTCCATATGAAACTTATTGTAGTGCCATGGTTTTTGAATGTTGCATGCATGCACCCATGCCATGAGAAGGAAAGGAAAGGGGCTCTGCTCCTTGAATAATAACTAATGGGGTAGCAAGAAAATGTATCTTTGGAGAAACTTATGTTCCCTGATCTCAATAAAACACAAGGGGAAAATAATCTTTACTCTCTCCTGACTCCTCTAGCACTGATTATAAAAGCAATAGTTCAGGTATAATTCACTTATGCACAGGAAACAATGTGGGATTGATTATAAGGTCAAACTGGATAAAGCCTGTTGTGTCTCTTCCTCTGTAAAGACAGAGGTACCTCTTACATCAGATTGAAAATGTATGACCAATAAATGTCCATTGACTAGACAGAGTTGATGGGAGTTTAGTTTGCTGCTCATAGGAAATGTTCATGGTATTGATGTACAAGACAACATAATTTGAAAAAAGAGGAAGGGGAAATACAGGATATAGAACACATTCTGGAGGAAGGGGTGGGTGCTGTACTGAAAACAAAATAAGATCAAGGATGAAAAATGTAATTACAGCCGGTCCCTGATCTATGAATGAGTTATGG